TTTCAACAATTCTATAACTACCATTGTCGTAGAGTTGCGTCTTTGTGTCTTTGGTTTGTTTTATGCTCAGCAAGGAAGATCACTAACATTCCCTTCACTAACTCTGAGCTCGAAACAGCACTAATCAAGGGCAATTCTACGACGCCTGGTGAGGATGATATTACTTACAATATACTTAGATGGCTTTGTCGAGTACCAGGTACTCTTTACTTAAATTATACAACGTGAGCTATGCAACAGCCTGGTTGATCAGGCTCTGATCCACCAGGCCTGGTCACAGACCGGGCCGCGGGGGCGTTGACCCCCGGAACTCTATCCAGGTAACTGGTGAGCTTCCTCAATCATGGCCCAATCAGCAAAATGAATTTCGCCCAATATCTCTTACTAGCTGATTGTGTAAAACAATTGAGATTATTCTAAATTATATAATCAAAAAGAAGCGCTAAGCCACAAGGGCTATACAGCGTGATTATTCTAAATCATCTCAAGTACATTATTATTATAATCAAGGGGGAAGCGCTAAACCCGGAGGATTATACAGCACCTGGGGGGGGGTGGATGTGGAAGGCATTCAGGCTTAATTCGGGACTGGAGCACAGATTGAATTCCCTAAATCAAGAGCGCCTCACCACATAGGACTTCCGTGATGTGCATACCAACTCATGTACAGACTCAAACAATTTCTGTCTTCCCGGTTGTATGGCTTCAAGTATAGGATTTATTATTATAATCAAGGGGGAAGCGCTAAACCCGGAGGATTATACAGAGCCTGGGGGGGGATGTGGAAGGCATTCAGGCTTAATTTGGGGAACTGGAGCACAGATCCAATTCCCTAAATCAAGAGCCCCTCACCAACATCAAGGAACCTTCCCTGAGGGGCTTCATGTATAGGAGTGGGTGTTATTGTATAATCTCTCACCCGGCACACTGACATCTCCCACATTACTTCTTTTGGTCTTAAATCTGCATTACTATAATAAAAAAAAAGCGCTAAACCACAAGGGCCATTCAGCGCTTCTTAAATCTGCAATCATTAGTGAAATTGCCAGAATGGATGTAGGAAGATGGCTTCTCCGCTGATAATTAAAGGCTACCTGTCCAACATAGTCTTCTGTGTTGTTGCAGGGGCACAGAAGTGTAACTGAAGACTAAATTAGGAGCCCCACAGAGTTGTCCTCAGTCCCACCTTATTCACTATTCTAATTAATGCTTTACTAAATGCTACTCCTAGTAAACCCGATCATCAATTGATCAACATTGTAATCCTTATAGAGAATAAACTTTGAATTTGAATTAAATGATTATCTTGTTAATGATAAAATGATTCCACTGTCAACTGCCTCCCAGCATAACATAAGAAAGAAATTTACCAACAACCCCAGGTTATCTTCAAGAGGGAGCTGGACATCACATAGTCATACCTGATCAGCAGGGCTTTGGTCCTAACGTCGGTTTGTGCGGCGGCCAGCAGTAAACATTCATTCTGGTTGATCAGACCTCTGATCCAACCGCGAACCTGTTCAAGTACAGGGCCGCTGGGGCGTATGACCCCTCAAACACACACCAGGAATAACACACCTGGCAGATTCACCAACACCCTAACCCTCTTAATCGATTATAGTCTCTCTATGCGAAAATTAAAATACCTCGCCAACAGAGGTGGCAGTCCCGCAGGATCCAGTATACATGATGGGTCTTGACTACAATATGTAATTAGAAACATGGTATCAAGTCTTCGAGGTCCAATTACTTGCCTGTCTAACAAGACTGTCACCATGCAAGAGAACGACTGACAGCACTTAGATGTTTTCATTCCCAGGTATGTATGCTAATGTTACAATCGTGAAAGTGATGAAAATTGCTTAATATTAGATCAATGGCTGATATATGCTCCCTCCACACATGCTCTTTGTATCGACTGGATGGGAAGCTTGGTGGACTTTGAATGGATTGCTTGGAGAGACTGGATGGATGCTTGGAGGACTGGATGATGCTTTGGAGGACGATGAAGAGCTAGGAGACAGGATGGAATGCTTGGAGGACTGATGGATGCTTGGAGGAACTGGATGGATGCGATGGAGGACTGGGGTGGGGGATGGATGCTTGGGAGGACGTGGATGGATGCTTGGAGGACTGGATGGAAGCTTGGAGGACTGGATGGAAGCTTGGAGGACTGGATGGATGCTTGGAGGACTGGATGGATGCTTGGAGGACTGGATGGAAGCTTGGAGGACTGGATGGAAGCTTGGACAGACTGGATGGATGCTTGGAGGACTGGATGGATGCTTGAGACATACGGATTGATGCTTGGAGGACTGATTGATGCTTGGACATACCTGGATGGATGTTTTGAGGAACTGAAGGATGCTTGGAGGACTGGATGAAGCTTGGAATGGACTGGATGGAACTTGGACAGACTGGATGGTAAGCTTGGAGGACTGGATGGATACTTTTGAGGACTGGTGGCTGCTTGGACTTACGGAATGGATGCTTGGAGACTGGATGATGCTTGGACAGACGGATGGATAGCATGGGAGGACTGGAAGGATTGCTGGAGGACTGGCTGAACTTTGAGGACTGGATGGCAGCTTGGATGACTGGATGGATGCTTGGAGGACTGGATGGAAGCAGAAGACTGGGATGACAGCTTGGCCGAGACTGGATGGAGCTTGGAGACTGGAAAGGATGCTTGGAGGACTGGAATGGAACTTGGAGGATGATGGAAGCATGGACAGACTGAAATGATGCTTGGAGGCTGGATGGATCTTGGCCAGACTGGGATGGATGCTTGGAGACCTGGGATGGAAAGCTTGGACGACTGGATGAGATGCTTGAGGACCTGGATTGGATGCTTGGGAGGACAGGATGGAAGCTTGGAGACGGATGGAAGCTTGGACAGACTGGATGGATGCTTTGCGAGGACAGGAATGATGCTTGGAGGACTGGATGGATGCTATGGAGGACTGGGATGTGATGCTTGGAAGGACTGGATGGAATCTTTTGGAGGACTGGATGGAAGCTAGGAGGACTGGATTGATGCTTGGAGGCACTGATGGAAGCATGGGAGGACAGGATGGAGCTTGGAGGACTGAAGGAACTTTGAGGATCTGGATGGAAGCTTGGCGAGGACTGATGGAAGCTTGGACAGACTGGAAGGATCTTGGGATGACAGGATAGACGCATGGATGACTGGAAGGCATTCCTTGTGAGGACTGGATGGATGCTGGAGGACTGGATGGATGCTTGGAGGACAGGATGGAAGCATGGAGGACTGGATGGATCTTGGAGGATGGAAAGGAATGCGTGGAGTACTGGATGGATCTTGTAGACTGGATGAAGCTAGGAGGACTGGATGGAAGCATGGACAGACTGGATGGATGCTTGGAGGCACAGAAGGATGCTTGGAGGACTGGATGAAGCTTGGAGGGGGGGGAATGGATGGAAGCTTGGAGGACTGGAAGGATGCTTGGAGATTGGATGATGCTTGGAGGACTGGACGTGCTTTGAGAACAGGAATGGAGAAGCTTGGAGGACTGGATGGAAGCTTGGACAGACCGGATGGAATGCTTTGGAGGACTTGGATGGATGCAAGGAGGACTTGATGGAAGCTTGGAGTACGTGGAATGAACTTGACAGCCTGATGGATGCTTGTGAGGACTGGCTTGATGCTTGGAGGACTGGTGGACCTTGAGGAGCTGGTATGGATGCAAGGAGGACTGGCATGGAGCTTGGAGGACTGGAGGAATGCTAGGCGGACAGAATGGATGCTTGGACCAGATTGGATGGAAGCTTGGAGGACGTGGAATTTGAAGCTTGACAGCACAGATGAAGCTTGGACAGACTGATGGAAGCTTGTAGGCTGGAATAACTGCACACGAAAGCAATGAGATGATTTTAAAGCATGCCATAAATAAATAAGTAAATCCTGATTGTACAGCAATGCAAGCAACCATAACGACCAGATTTTTTGTAATACTCATTTGATGCTTAATTGTTATCTGTTTACAAAAATTGTTTTACCACTGAAATAACTTCTGCTTAGTTAAATCCTTAAGTTAATTTTAATCCTGTCCGTAATGGCGTTCATTCAAGTGGCTTGGCATGCTGCAATTTAACTGTATTCTTTTGTACTTCTCTGTATCATTTCAAATTAATAATAAAATAAATCTTAGGGTTTCATTGTACAGCCAAGTTTCCTAAACATGCGAAAGCAACAGAACCCACCAAATCTTCATCAGCACTGGTTTTTTTTTTTTGGTGAACTTCCTCCAGATGAATCATAAAAACAGAACTGATCTCCGTATGAAACCCTGATACACCATGTATGGTCAGTAAATAACAGCGGCACTTCCCCGCTTCAATGGAAAATTACCGCAAAAAAATTCTGAATCACAACCGAAAAGCTCCCGTAGCCTCTTTCACCAATCCACAGGTGCAGCTGGTCGTGCAGCTGATATAGTGAATGGTCTCTCATAAAGAAAATTGGAGCACGCAATAACTGGGCCTCATAATATACAAGTCTCCCTTTGCACTCAAACTTGTCCATGAATTAGGCTTGCCAGTACCAGATGCAGACCAAACTAAATGTAAACTTGGCCAGATGGACAATTATCATAACCTGCGTCATTATGTACTGGAATTGTGGAATTCAGAGACAACTTAGTTTTGTCCCAGGATACGATCCACACCTCGAACTAACACAGGTACCCATTTACGATGGGTGAACTGTAATGTAAAACACGCCCAATGTTATCCATCCTTGCCAAGAACCGAACCCAGATCCTCAGCATGTGAAGCGAGAGCTTTTTGCCACCAGGCCACGGGCCTGGTGGCCCGTGCTGTTATTTTGAATGATAGTATCCAGGCTTCTGAGTGGCACACTTTTTGTAAGTTTCTGTAAATTAGTTAAAGGAAGTGGGGTTTCCAAGTAGCACACTTGCGTTTGTAAGTTTAACCTCTGTTATTGTTTAAAAGCTCAGTAACTGATGAAATAAAACATTATTACAGACATTTTATTATGCTGAATGTATAACATATTTCCTTTTTTTCCTAAGAGCCAACTTAATTATCATTGTATCACTGCTCCAATAAAATAACTTAAGAGTCTTGGTCAGCTTCTACTTATTGTGAAGCTGTGTATCTTCCGCAATCAATTCTTCTTCTTTAGTAAATCTTTGTCTTGCTAAGTAGTCTCTTTACTTATCTTCAATAACTAAAACTTTTCACTCAACACTGACAACTTAAAGCACTATAAAAACTGCATTTTCCAAAAAGTGTTACAAAAACGAGTTTTATTTCACCAGAACAAAAGTTGAAAAGAAATCAGTATAATGTTGGTCTTAATGTGTAGATGCTACAAGAGTTAAGACTTCTTAGGGGTGTTGAGAATGACTATCTTGTCAGCGTCTTGTAGGGCGCTCTTCTCGTGCTTCAGTGCCTCTTCATGGTCGTTAAGAGCAAGAACCTCCTCAAATATTGCTTCCACTTTCTTCCGGATATCACTCCTTTAGAAAAACAATTAAATTAGTAAAACATCACGAAAGATCAAATTACGGCAACAAAATATTTTAGTGGAGATGTCCTGTTCTAAGGGCAATGTGTGGTGTAAATATTATGCAGAAAATTCGGAGTGTGGAAATTAGGAGAAGGTGTGAAGTTAATAAAAGTATTAGTGAGAGGGCTGAAGATGGGTTGTTGAGGTGGTTTGGTCATTTAGAGAGAATGGATCAAAGTAGAATGACATGGAGAGCGTATAAATCTGTAGGGGAAGGAAGGCGGGGTAGGGGTCGTCCTCGAAAAGGTTGGAAGGAGAGGGTAAAGGAGGTTTTGTGGGCAAGGGGCTTGGACTTCCAGCAAGCGTGCGTGAGCGTGTTAGATAGGAGAGAATGGTATTTGGGACCTGACGATCTGTTGGAGTGTGAGCAGGGTAATATTTAGTGAAGGGATTCAGGGAAACCGGTTATTTTTACATAGCCGGACTTGAGTACTGGAAATGGGAAGTACAATGCCTGCACTCTAAAGGAGGGGTTCAGGATATTGGCAGTTTGGAGGGATATGTTGTGTATCTTTATACGTATATGCTTCTAAACTGTTGTATTCTGGGAACCTCTGCAAAAACAGTGATTATGTGTGAGTGAGGTGAAAGTGTTGAATGATGATGAAAGTATTTTCTTTTTGGGGGTTGTCTTTCTTTTTTGGGTCACCCTGCCTCGGTGGGAGACGGCCGACTTGTTGAAAAAAAATTACAATGAACAATGTTTAATATTTATTTATAATTCTTTTTTGATTTAATAAAGTGTTCTTGACCGGTAGGGTACATGTGATATATAGTCTTAAACACCACAAGCAGGTTAATAGGGTTCAAACCCACTGATCAAAATAAGCATCCCAAAAATACTATCCATATCTAGAGGATTTTTAAATTCGTACTAAAAAATATTGGACCAATCCTTGTACTATGTCCAGTACTATAAGAAAATTATTGTTATAATAATTTATTACATTGTGTACACTTGACATTTTCCACAGTGCATTTCCTGCAAGTATAGCCATATGAAGGTTTAAAGATACCAATAATTCACAATCAACATATATTCGTAACATCCTATGAAATGTCTTTTAACAGGCCCACGTAACATAACATTTGCCCATTTGGATCATAATGATTATATATGTTAGTACAGTATATATTAACCCAGTTCCGACAAGGCCACGCCAGCTGGAGATTCGTCTGTAAAAACTTGCATTTGTGGTCACATTGGTGATTATGCTAACCTTCCTATGGTGTATAAACATATCGAGTTGGATGAATCTTATTGTGGGTAGCTGGCCCAGTGACTAACGCGACGGTCTGGAGTTTTGAGACTCTGATCGCGGGTTCTAACCCCACCCGTGGTAGGGTTTGTTTGCAATCGAATCATTACGATTTCGTGAGTCATATTATTATTATTATTATATCTAACACTAGAACACATTGCTGGTTCGCTATACGTAATATTATCTCCATATTTCAAAGAAAGAAGCTTGGAATGATTCGCTTAAGAAAACTTCTCTTAATCACATTTAAGGCCTCTATACTATAGCAGATACGTGTACAAGATGGTAGATCATTACATGGCTATCAAAATCTGCCACAAAGTATGTCAGGTAAATGTTAGCAGTATTTTCAGACTGTCATCTCTTACAAGAACATTGATTATCTATCTCAGATAAACATCACATCCTGCATGTGCCACCAAACTTATATTCTTTATCTAGCTTCTAACTTACCGTCCACCTGACTTAAGTTACCCTCCACCTGACTTAACTAACTATCCACCTGATTTAACTAACCTTCCACCTGATTTAACTTACCCTCCACCTTGACATATAACTTACCCTCCACCTTGACATATAACTTACCCTCCACCTTGACATATAACTTACCCTCCACCTTGACATATAACTTACCCTCCACCTTGACATATAACTTACCCTCCACCTTGACATATAACTTACCCTCCACCTTGACATATAACTTACCCTCCACCTTGACATTTAACTTACCCTCCACCTTGACATATAACTTACCCTCCACCTTGACATATAACTTACCCTCCACCTTGACATATAACTTACCCTCCACCTTGACATATAACTTACCTCCACCTGACATATAACTTACCCTCACCTTGACATATAACTTACCCTCCACCTTGACATATAACTTACCCTCCACCTTGACATATAACTTACCCTCCACCTTGACATATAACTTACCCTCCACCTTGATATACACTATCTACCTCACACTTCACTCCAGCTGACATACAGTACATTCACTATTCATAAAACACAATGTAACAAACTCACAAAAATGAGAAGAGAAAATTTGTTATGGCATTGTCTTCCAGCTCAGACAAGTCATCCTCCAGCTTGCCAATACTGTCAATGGTGGTATCCAGTGATATGTTGCTGCACTCTGCTTCTGAACTCTCAAGGTTTTCCTGCAAACAAAAAATCCAGACATGTAGAGGCATCATAATAACAAAGCACTGTTACATCTTAAGAAAAATACACAATTCTAAAAGAATCTTAACCAAGATGATATAATGTTCACAAGAGTCATATGCAATGTTTGTGGCTTTCACAGAGATCCCACACAGAACATCACTGATAATGAAATACGGATCCCAGGGTACAACTTTTTCAGATGCGACAGGAAGAATAGGAAACAAACGGGAGTTGGCCTGTGTCACGGAGTCGCTCATTTACTCGGAATTACTAAAACCACAAATGATGTAGTAGAAGTTTTAGCAACTTCTCAACAATTCAAGGTGGCCCGTGGCCTGGTAGGCAATGCTTTTGCTTCGTACGCTGAATGTCCGTGGTTCGATTTCCGGCAAGGGTGCAAAAACTAGGCATGTTTCCTTACACCTGTTGTCCCATTCACCCAGCAAGAAAGTAGGTACCTGGATGTTATATATATATATATTTTTTTTTTCAACAAGTCGGCCGTCTCCCACCGAGGCAGGGTGACCCAAAAAAAGAAAGAAAATCCCCAAAAAGAAAATACTTTCATCATCATTCAACACTTTCACCTCACTCGCACATTATCACTGTTTTTGCAGGTGCTCAGAATACAACAGTCTAGAAGCATACACATATAAAGATACACATCATATCCCTCCAAACTGCCAATATCCCAAACCCCTCCTTTAAAGTGCAGGCATTGTACTTCCCATTTCCAGGACTCAAGTCCGACTATATGAAAATAACCGGTTTCCCTGAATCCCTTCACTAAATATTACCTGCTCACACTCCAACATACATATATATATATATATATATATATATATATATATATATTATATATATATAATATATATATATATATTATATATATATATATATATATATATATATATATATATATATATATATATATATAAATATATAAATATATATATATATATATATACATAATATTATATATATATATATATATATATATATATATATATATATATAAACATATATATACATATAATATCATTATATACATTATTATATACATATATATATATATTACATATTTATATTATATTACACTAATATACTATTAACATATACATATACATATAAATATCATTATACATATAAATATACATATACATATACATACATATATATATATATATATATATATATATATTTATAATATATTATATATATTAATTATATATATATATATATATATATATTATATATATATATATAGTCCCTCGCCCACAAAACCTCCTTTACCCCTTCCAGCCTTCCCGAGGACGACCCCCACCCCACCTTCCTTCCCCTACAGATTTATATGCCCTCCATGTCATTCTACTTTGATCCATTCTCTACTAAATGACTAAACCACCTCAACAACCCCTCTTCAGCCCTCTAATACTTTTATTAACTCCACACCTTCTCCTAATGTCCACACTCCGAATTTTCTGCATAATATTTACACCACACATTGCCCTTAGACAGGACATCTCCACTGCCTCCAACCGCCTCCTCGCTGCTGCATTCACAACCCAAGCTACACACCCATATAAGTGTTGGTACTACTATACTTTCATACATTCCCTTTGCCTCCATAGATAACGTTTTTTGTCTCCACATATACCTCAACGCACACTCACCTTTTTTTTCCTCATCAATTCTATAATTAACCTCGTCCTTCTAAATCCATCCGCCGACACGTCAACTCCCAAGTATCTGAAAACATTCACTTCTTCCATACTCCTCCTCCCCAATTTGATATCCAATTTTTCTTTATCTAAATCATTGATACCCTCATCACCTTACTCTTTTTCTATGTTCAATTTCAACTTTCTACCTTTACACATACTCCCAAACTCATCCACTAACCTTTGCAATTTTTCTTTAGAATCTCCCATGAGCACAGTATCATCAGCAAAAAGCAACTGTGTCAATTCCCATTTTGTATTTGATTCCCCATAATTTAATCCCACCCCTCTCCCGAACACCCTAGCATTTACTTCTTTTACAACCCCATCTAAAAATATATTAAACAACCATGGTGACATTACACATCCCTGTCTAAGACCTACTTTTACTGGGAAGTAGTCTCCCTCTCTTCTACACACCCTAACCTGAGCCTCACTATCCTCATAAAAACTTTACAGCATTTAGTAACTTACCACCTATTCCATATACTTGCAACATCTGCCACATTGCTCCCCTATCCACTCTATCATATGCCTTTTCTAAATTCATAAATGCAATAAAAACTTCCCTACCTTTATCTAAATACTGTTCACATATATGCCTCAACGTAAACACTTGATCTACACATCCCCTACCCACTCTGAAACCTCTTTTCTCATCCGCAATCCTACATTCTGTGTTACCTCTAATTCTTTCAGTTATAACCCTACCGTACACTTTTCCTGGTATACTCAGTAAACTTATTCCTCTATAATTTTTACAATCTCTTTTGTCCCCCTTCCCTTTATATAAAGGGACTATACATGCTCGCTGCCAATCCCTAGGTACCTCCCCCTTTCATATATTTATTAAATAAAAATACCAACCACTCCAACACTATATCCCCCCCTGCTTTTAACATTTCTGTCATGATCCCATCAGTTCCAGCTGCTTTACCCCTTTCATTCTACGTAATGCCTCACGCACCTCCCCCACACTCACATCCTGTTCTTCTTCACTCCTAAAAGATGGTATACCTCCCTGGCCAGTGCATGAAATTACCGCTTCCCTTTCTTCATCGACATTTAAAGTTCCTCAAAATATTCTCAGCATCTACCAAGTACCTCCATCTCCCCATCTACTAACTCCCCTACTCTGTTTTTAACTGACAAATCCATTCGTTCTCTAGGCTTTCTTAACTTGTTTAACTCCAAAAAATTTTCTTATTTTCATTAAAATTCCTTGACAGTGCCTCTCCCACTCAATCATCTGCTCTCCTTTTGCACTCTCTCACCACTCTCTTCACCTTTCTTTTACTCTCCATTTACTCTACTATTCTTATAACACTTCTGCTTTGTAAAAACCTCTCATAAGCTAACTTTTTCTCTTTTATCACACCCTTTACTTCATCATTCCACCAATCACTCCTCATTTCTCCTGCACTCACTCTCCTATAGCTACAAACTTCTGCCCCACATTCTAATACTGCATTTTAAAAACTATTCCAACCCTCTTCAACCCCCTCACTACTCATACTTGCACCAACCCACCTTTCTGCCAATAGTTGCTTATATCTCACCCGAACTTCCTCCTCCCTTAGTTTATACACTTTCACCTCCCTCTTGCTAGTTGTTGCCATTTTCCTCTTTTCCCACCTACCTCTTACTCTAACTGTAGCTACAACTAAATAATGATCCGATATATCAGTTGCCCCTCTATAAACGTGTACATCCTGGAGCCTACCCATCAACCTTTTATCCACCAATACATAATATAACAAACTACTTTCATTACGTGCTACATCATACCTTGTATATTTATCATCTTCTTCATAAAATATGTATTACTTATTACCAAACCTCTTTCTACACATAGTTCAATTAAAGGCTCCCCATTTTCATTTACAGCAGGCACCCCAAAATTACCTACTACTCCCTCTACAACATTTTTGCCCACTTTAGCATTGAAATCCCCAACCACCATTGCTCTCACACTTGGTTCAGAACTCCCCACGCATTCACTCAACATTTCCCAAAATCTCTCTCCTCTACACTTCTCTTCTCCAGGTGTATATACGCTTACTATAACCCACTTTTCACATCCAACCTTTATTTTACTCCACATAATCCTTGAATTAATACATTTGTAGTCCCTCTTTTCCTGTCATAACTTATCCTTCAACATTATTGCTATTCCTTCTTTAGCTCTAACTCTCTATGAAACCTCTGGCCTAATCCCATTTATTCCTCTCCACTGAAACTCTCCCACCCCCATCAGCTTTGTTTCACTTAAAGCCAGGACATCCAGCTCTTTCTCATTCATAACATCCACAATCATCTCTTTCTTAACATTTGCACAACATCCACGCACATTTAGACTTCCCACTTTGACAATTTTCTTCTTATTCTTTATAGTAATTATTACAGGAAAAGGGGTTACTAGCCCATTGTTCCCGGCATTTTAGTTGACTTTTACAACAGCATGGCTTAAGGAGGAAAGATTCTTATTCCACTTCCCCATGGATATAAAAGGAAAAGTAATAAGACCAAGAACTATTAAGATAAAATCAAAGAAAACTCAAATGAGTGTGTATAAATAAACGTGTACATGTATGTGTAGTGTGACCTAAGTGTAAGTAGAAGTAGCAAGACGTACCTGTAATTTTGCATATTTATGAGACAGACAAAAGACACCAGCAATCCTACCATCATGTAAAACAATTACAGGCTTTCGTTTCACACTCACTTGGCAGGACAGTAGTATCCCCCTGGGTGGTTGCTGTCTACCAACCTACTACCATAAGGTAACAAGTACTACATACAGTGACATAAGGTAACAAGTACTACATACAGTGACATAAGATAACAAGTACTACACGGTGGTCCGGTGGTCTGGTGGCTAAAACTCCCGCTTCACACACGGAGGGCCCGGGTTCGATTCCCGGCGGGTGGAAATTCTGACACGTTTCCTTACACCTATTGTCCTGTTCACCTAGCAGCAAATAGGTACCTGGGTGTTAGTCGACTGGTGTGGGTCGCATCCTGGGGGACAAGATTAAGGACCCCAATGGAAATAAGTTAGACAGTCCTCGATGACGCACTGACTTTCTTGGGTTATCCTGGGTGGCTAACCCTCCGGGGTTAAAAATCCGAACGAAATCTTATCTTATCTCTTACATACAGTGACATAAGGTAACAAGTACTACATACAGTGACATAAGGTAACAAGTACTACATACAGTGACATAAGATAACAAGTACTACATACAGTGACATAAGATAACAAGTACTACATACAGTGACATAAGGTAACAAGTACTACATACAGTGACATAAAATAACAAGTACTACATACAGTGACATAAGGTAACAAGTACTACATACAGTGACATAAAATAACAAGTACTACATACAGTGACATAAGATAACAAGTACTACATACAGTGACATAAGATAACAAGTACTACATAGTGACATAAGGTAACAAGTACTACATACAGTGACATAAGGTAACAAGTACTACATACAGTGACATAAGGTAACAAGTATTACATACAGTGACATAAGGTAACAAGTACTACATACAGTGACATAAGGTAACAAGTACTACATAGTGACATAAGGTAACAAGTACTACATACAGTGACATAAGGTAACAAGTACTACATACAGTGACATAAGGTAACAAGTACTACATACAGTGACATAAGGTAACAAGTACTACATACAGTAACATAAGGTAACAAGTACTACATACAGTGACATAAGGTAACAAGTACTACATAGTGACATAAGGTAACAAGTACTACATACAGTGACATAAGGTAACAAGTACTACATACAGTGACATAAGGTAACAAGTACTACATACAGTGACATAAGGTAACAAGTACTACATACAGTGACATAAGATAACAAGTACTACATACAGTGACATAAGGTAAAAAAGTATACATACAGTGACATAAGGTAAACAAGTACTACATAGTGACATAAGATAACAAGTACTACATACAGTGACATAAGGTAACAAGTACTACATACAGTGACATAAGGTAACAAGTACTACATACAGTGACATAAGGTAACGTACTACATACAGTGACATAAGGTAACAAGTACTACATACAGTGACATAAGATAACAAGTACTACATACAGTGACATAAGGTAACAAGTACTACATACAGTGACATAAGGTAACAAGTACTACATACAGTGAAAATAAGGTAACAAGTACTACATTACAGTGACATAACATAACAAGTACTACATACAGTGACATAAGATAACAAGTACTACATACAGTGACATAAGGTAACAAGTACTACATACAGTGACATAAGATAACAAGTACTACATACAGTGACATAAGATAACAAGTACTACATACAGTGACATAAGATAACAAGTACTACATACAGTGACATAAGGTAACAAGTACTACATACAGTGACATAAGATAACAAGTACTACATACAGTGACATAAGGTAACAAGTACTACATAGTGACATAAGGTAACAAGTACTACATACAGTGACATAAGATAAACAAGTACTAAAATACAGTGACATAAGGTAACAAGTACTACATACAGTGACATAAGATAACAAGTACTACATACAGTGACATAAGGTAACAAGAACTACATACAGTGACATAAGGTAACAAGTACTACATACAGTGACATAAGGTAACAAGTACTACATAGTGACATAAGGTAACAAGTACTACATACAGTGACATAAGGTAACAAGTACTACATACAGTGACATAAGGTAACAAGTACTACGTAGTGACATAAGGTAACAAGTACTATATATAACAAAATATGTAAACATTGTTTACCTCTTCAGCAAATCTTAGTTTTTCTACTTTATTCATAACATCCATTAGGTCTTTCTTCTCTGTGTCTATCTCCATCTGCTCCTTCTGTTCTTCCTCTATCTTCTGTTCCAGCTCTTGTTTCTTCATCTGATTCATCTTTTCTATCTTCATCTGCTCCAGCTCTTCTTTATTTCTCTTCACCTGCTCCAGTTCTTTCTGAATCTTCTGTTCTATTTCTTCTAGCTTCTGCTCCATCTTTTCTACCTTCGTCATCTCCTTTTTTGTTTTCATCTGCTCCAGCTCTTCTTTCTCTATCTTTATTTGCTCCAGATCTTTCTGTATCACTTGCTCCATCTTTCCCATCTTCATCTGCTCTGGCTCGTCTTTCTTCATGTCTTCTCCCATCAAGTTATCCACCTTACCTTTCTCTTTTATCTTCTCTATTAATTCATCTTTATCATCCACTTCTTTGCCCTCTTTCTCTTCTTTCTTAGTTGTGGTGTTGGTTTCCTCACTGTAAGATAGAAGTCTCAGCATTAGTTTTTTTTTTTTTCAAACAAGTCGGCCGTCTCCCACCGAGGCAGGGTGACCCACCGAGGCAGGGTGACCCACCGAGGCAGGGTGACCCACCGAGGCAGGGTGACCCACCGAGGCAGGGTGACCCGCCGAGGCAGGGTGACCCAGCGAGGCAGGATGACCCAAACAAGAAAGAAAATCCCCAAAAAGAAAATACTTTCATCATCATTCAAGACATTCACCTCACTCACACATAATCACTGTTTTTGCAGAGGTTCCCAGAACACAACAGTTTAGAAGCATATACGTATAAAGATATACAACATATCCCTCCAAACTATTTATAAAATTATTAACATAGCATAGACTAACTTCTTTCAGCATCTGCAATGTTTGAAGAAATCCCAAGTGGCTTTCCTGTTTGGTGTCGCACAACACACTAAGTTAATGTGTGTCATATATTGATTCTCAAAATTTGCTGATGAGAATTTGGTGGCATTGAAAATTGGGTTGGTCAAATGTTTGTTAGTGGGATGAATTGTAAAGGACCTGCCTAGTATGGGCCAACAGGCCTGCTGCAGTCTTCCTCCTTTCTTATGTTCTTATGAATATTCTTTATAATAATAATAATCTTTATTTCTACCAGTACATGTACAAGGTATACAGACCATAGCTGACATACTACTATGTAGGAAATCCCTTTGCATTTTAGGAAAATTAGGTCAATTTTGTCTCCAGGATGCGACCCACACCAGTCGACTAACACCCATATACCTATTTCATTTATAGTTGAACATGGACAGCAGGTGTCTTAAGGAAACACGTCCTAATGTTTCCACCCGCACTGAGGATCGATCCCTGGACTTCAGTGTGTAAGCTGGGTGCGCTAGCAATCGAGCTACGGGTTATATATCATGTACATCTTACCAGGAATTGTAAATAACACAAAGTTCATAAAACTTTGAAGGAGTACCTGTAAATACCTGTAAAGTGAAGCAGCTTTTTTTTTTTTCTTTCAAATGCATTTAAAGTCTGATAACATATTTACACTAACATATATTAAGTAAGCATCGAGCTAGGCGTAAAAAAAAAGGAGACATGCGTACAGTACAGACATTATTTACCTTAAAATATTTTCGTCCTTAGCTTATAGTGAGTGGTGAATATTTATTATAGGAAGTCTGAATAAATGAAGAAAGGGTATAACCGAAAACTATTGCTGTAAAGTGAAGCACTGAAAAGCGGAGCCTGCCTGTATATATGTTGGCTTACAAAAAATTAAAGTGAAGCATTTGCCATATGCTTGGTGAGTGCGCTAGCAACTGAGCTAGAGCACTCGGCTCATGCACTGAGGTCCGGCTGCAAACATAACAACGTGTTTCTATACGACACCTACTGTCCCTGTTCACCTATCAGTAAAATGGGTACCTGGGTGTTAGTCGACTGGTGTGGGTAGCTTCCTGGAACAGAACTGACCTAATTTGCCCGAAATACTCTCCTTCTATATAGCGTCATTGATGTCAGCTAGGCCTGTATACCTTGTACATGTACTTGTAGAAATAAAGGTACTATTATTATTAAGATATGAAAACTGTAGATTGATTTCAACAACTACATAAAAGAGAAATATTAAAAGGTAAACAACATAAAATACAAAAGCAAAAGTAATGGATAGAAGGTAAATAATGGTGAAATATTTTAGAAAAGACTATTTTTTTTTTTTTCTGTAGCGAATCCTTTTCCCCAAAAATTTTTGTTTTTGGGTAATAAAAAAAAAAGGTTCAACTAAAAAATTCTTTTTTTAAAAAAAATTTTTTTTTTAAAAAAAACGGTAAAATTTTTGGGGGAAAAAATTCACCCAGAGGTTTTGGCCCCAAAAAAAATTAAAAATTTTCCCCTGCCCAAACCCACCCAAAATAACCCGTTTTCTTTGGGGAACTTTCAAAATTTCCAATAAAAAAATTTTTAAAAAAACCCCAATACCAGGAAAAGGGCCTTTGCCCAAATTTTTTTGGGTTTTTACCAAAAGGAAAGGAAATTTTTAAAAAACCTGACCCTTTTTAAAAACATTTTTTAAAAAAAAAAAAAAAAGGGGAAATTTTTTTAAAAAATTTTTAATGAAAAGGGTTTTAAAATTTTATTTTCCAAAATTTAAAAAATTTTTGTAAAATTTTCCAAAACCCCCCTTTTTAAAAAAAAACCCCCAAAAAATTTTAAAAAAAAAAAAAATTTTTTAAAAAATAAATGGAAAAATTTTTCAAACCCAAAATTTTTAAATAAAATTTACCCAACCCAAAAAAATTTGAAAGGTGGTAAATTCAAAAAAAATTATTTAGTAAACTACAAACCCAAATTTTGCAACTTTTTAAAATTTTTTATTTTTGGGTTACTAAAAAAAATTTTGAAAACGGAAAAATTGGTCCCTTTAAAAAGGGGCCCCCGGGGTTAAGGGGGTTCACCCCCTTAAAAAGGGTTTTTTTTCCCTTTTAAAAAAGTCCTTTTTCCCCCCCATTTTTTTAAAATTTGGGCCAATTTTTGGGCGTCCCGGGTTACCGGGGTTAGGGGGTTTTTTGGGGTAAAATAAAAAAATTTTTTTTTCAAAACAAAAAAAACCTTCATTAAAATAAAATTTTTTTAAAAAAAGGGCCAAAGGGGGTTTTTTTCCCTTTTTGGGGGGGTTTAAAAAAAATTTAAAAAAAATCAAACCTTTTTTTTGCCCTAAAAAAAAAAAAAAATTAAAAAACCTTAAAATAAAACTTGAAAGCTTTTCCCGAATTTTCAAACCCCAAAATTATTGGAAAAATTTCTTAAATGAAAGTTTTTAAGGGAAAGTTTTTTTTACTAAAAACCCTTTTAAAGGGAAAAAAAGGGAAAAATTTTTTTAAAAAAAAAGGGGGGGAAAGGAAAAAGAAAAATTTAAAAAAAACAAAACCCCCAATACCCCAAACCAATTTTATTTAAAAAAAAAATTTTTTCTTTCCCCCCTTTTTCCAAAAATTTAACCCAAAATTTTTTAACCCCCACCTTTTAAGGGGGGCCCGGGCTTAAAAACCCTTTTTTTGCGGGGGTTCCCCATTTAATGTCTTTCCCCTCGAAATTTATTTTTTAAATATTGTTTAGTAAAAATAAAAAATTTTAAATTTTAAAATTTAAATTTTTAAAAAAGGAAAACCCCGGGAAAAAACACTTTTTTTTTGGGTTATTTTTTTTAATTGCCAAAAAAAAATTTTAAAAAACGTTTTTTCCCCAAAATTAAAAATTTATTTTTTAAAAAATTAAGAATTTAAAAAACAAAGAATAAATTTCTTTTAAAACCCGGGATTTTAAAAAAAAAAAGGGATTTGAAAAAAAAGGGGAAAAGAAAAAAGGCGGGGAAACGGGCAGGGAAACAAAAAAGGGATAAAAAAAAACCCGGAAAAAGGAATAACGGGAAGGGGAAAAAGGGAAAAAGGGGGAAAAAAAATGTGGGAAAAAAGGGAGTCATAAAAGGGAGTAATAAAAAAGGGGGTTGGGGGGGAAAAAATTTTGGGGTAACAGGGGGGGGAAACAAAAGGAAAAGTTAAGGGGAAAAGGGGGTAAACAAGGAAGGGGAAAAAAGATGGCCCGGGAAAACAAAAAAAGGGGGATAACAAAATTAAATAACAAAATTCGGATAAAAAATTTTTCTCAAAATTCTCAATTAGGGTAAAAAGGGATTGGGTAAAAAAGGGCAGGGCAAAGGGAGGGGGGTAAAAAGGGGGCGGGATAACGGGATTAATAAAAAATTCAATAACGGATGTGGGGGTAAAAAGGGGAATTGGGGGAAAAAAATTGAGGGATAAAAGAAGGGAGGGAAAAAGGGGTTGGGGGGAAAAAAAAACCCCAAAAAAAAGGGGCCCGGGGATAAAAAAGGTTTTTAGGGAAACAAAGTTAAAATAAAAGAGGGAGGGATAAAAAGGGTTTTAACAAAATTCAAAAAAAAAAAAGGGGGGGGATAAAAAAAACGGGGAAAAAAAAAGGAGGGATAACAAATTGCAGGAAAACAAAGGATGTGCAGGGATAACAAGGAATGTGCAGGGTAACAAGAGGAGTGCAGGGAAAAAAGAGGTGTGCGGGGATACAAGAGGAGTGCGGGAAAACAAGATGATGTGGGGGGATAACAAGAGGAGTGCGGGGATAACAAGATGTGCAGGGAAACAAGAGGATGTCGGGGAAACAAGAGGATGTGCGGGGTAAAAAGAAGATGGCAGGGATAACAAAAATGGCAGGGAAACAAGGTGAGGGATAAAAAGAGGTGTGGGGGGAAAAACAAGAGATGTGCAGGGATAACAAGAGGATGTGCGGGGGATAACAAGAGGAGGGCCCGGGAAACAGATGTGAGGGATAAAAAGGGAGTGCAGGGATAACAAGGGGATGGCGGGGATAAAAAGAGGATGTGCAGGGAAAAAAAGGGATGTGCGGGGATAACAAGGGGAAGTGCGGGGATAAAAAAGGGGGATTGCAGGGATAACAAAGGATGTGCAGGGATAACAAGATGATGTGCAGGGATAAAAGGGGAGTGCAGGGTAACAAGATGGCAGGGATAACAAAGGATTGAGGGATAAAAAGAGGATGTGCAGCGATAAAAAAGAGGTGGCAGGGATAAAAGAGTGCAGGGAAAACAAGAGATGTGCAGGGAAAAAAGGGGAGTGGGGGGATAACAAGGGGATGTGCGGGGAAACAAGGGGATGTGGGGGGGAAAACAAAGGATGTGCGGGGAAAACAAGAGATGTCGGGAAAAAGGGGAAAGTAGGTAAAAAGAGGATGTCGGGGATAACAAGGGATGTGCAGGAAAACAAGAGATTCAGGGATAACAAGAGGAAGTGCAGGGATAACAAAAAAAATGCGGGGATAAAAGTTTGGTGCAGGGAAACAAGTGTGCAGGGAAAACAAAGGATTGCAGGGATAAAAAGGGGAAAAGTGCGGGGATAACAAAGGAGTGCGGGATAACAAGGGGTTTGGAGGGTAACAAATTTTCGG